TGGATGAACACAGCAGGCCAAGCAGCATCATAGGAGCAGAGAGGCTTGCAGCATCTGCAGTTCCTACTATCTCTGATGTAATCACAAGTACTGTGTGCAGTCTCTGAAATTCGTCTAACAGATAATTCCCGGTACAGTCCACAGATATGTTGTGAATGAGCATGCAGCCATCATCATGTGACCACTCAAGTCATAAAGACTCTCTAACCCCTGGATTTTCCTAGTTTTATCCACCATGGAAGGTGATAAATCTAAATTAAAACCTAGTGACTTTAAGATCATAAACCCAGATTCATCCAACTGAGCTATCTGCAACTTACCTTCCAATTTTAGGTTGTTTTCTATTTTGTATAGAAATTTAAATTTATTTAGTTACAGTCCATTATTTCATTGTTAGTTTTCTACAATAGCAAGTCATTCATCATTTTATAAAAGACGTGATGTTTACAATGCTGATTCAGTCATTTTAATCGTGGGCCTTAACCCCAAATGGTGTTTTGTTTATGGATCACTCTTGGAATGATGCACTAATACTAAGGAAGATGGATTTATTCTTGCAGTTTCCCATATGGAAGCTTGATTTGAAATGTGCCATCTTTTAAGCTACAGAATAGAAGTTACACCAACCCAACAACAATAACAATTTGCATTTATATACCACCTTTACCATTATAAAACCTCCCAGACTTCGCACCAGTTAATTATCAGACTGAAATTGATATTGAGCCGTATGAAAAGACATTAAGACTGATGACAAAATGTTTTGTTTTACCTCTGGGTGACCACATATATCTTAATTGAGGTAGGGAGGGATTTGAGCATGTGGATGAGAATTTAACATTCTGGAGGTTTATGGACTGGGAACCGACATAGGTCAGTGCATCTAGCTGTTGGGTAAAGAGCCAGGGTTTTGTTTTTATTCATTCAGGGAATGAGGGTATTGCTGGCCGGACTAGCATTTATTGCCCACCCCTAACTGCCCAGAGAGCGTTTAGGCTTCAATCACATTACTGCGGGTCTGGAGTCACATGTTGGCAGGACTGGGTAAGGACAGCTAAAGGACAACAGCGAACCAGATGGGTTTTTCTGACAATCGACAACTGTTTCATGGTCATCATTAAACCCTTAATTCCAGATTTTCACTCAATTCGAATTCCACCATCTACTGTGACGGAATTCAAACTCGGGTTGCGGATACCGTACCAGAGTCTCTGGATTAATAGTCTAGTGTTAATATTATTGTCTTCCCTACAGCCATCTGAGTTTTGGATAAGCACTCCCTCAAAAGTGTGGGTTGGGAATAAATAGTGCTGCACTGGCAAGTACCCTGCTTTCAAAGGACTACTTCACTTACACTGAGAATGCTGCGACACCTGGTATTCTCATGATATTGTTTTTGATATCTCTCATTGAATAACAAATAGAAGAGAACAAAACTACTGATACTCAGCTGTCAAAAGCCCATGTTTAGGTGGGCCCAGTATCTTCTAAAGTAATTCAAAGGGGAAAGGGAAGCAGACCATTGCATTCACACAGAAAGCTGTAGCTGGGTGGAGGGAGTTCGGGTCAGTGGAATTGTGCCTCTTATTTGTGGTCAATATGCTCATGTGCCACTCTAGAAACATCAGGGCATAATCTAGATAGTAGATTACTCCAGTGCAGTGCTGAGGGAGTGCTACATTATCAGAGATACTGACTTTTGGATGAAGTGTGAATATGAGGCTTTGCCTGCTCCTGTCAGGTGGACATAAAAGATCAAATGGGGCTGTTTTGAACACAATAGGGGAGTTCTCCACAGGATCCCAAACTAATGTTATCACTCAACCAGAATCAATTCAATGTGTCAGCAAGGTGATAATTTCCAGGTGCAGTGGGATTTCGCTGTGCTCAAATTAATTTTCTCTAGTTTCTACATTACTTAACTATACTTCAAAAGTACTTTATTGGTTATACATTCATTAAGGCAAGTGGTGAATTGTGCTATAACAACGCAATTTCTACTTATTTTAATTGTTTTTTTTTATAAATTTGCAGTTTCTGCTTGGTGTGTGGCCTATTATTTGGGTGGAGCCTCCTCCAAAGAAGCACTAAAAATGCCAGGGATTGAAATCTCTGGCAAAGAACAAGCTGGACTTCAGCACTGAGAGCTGTTTTATCTAATTCTGGAAGCGAGTGTTAATGAGTGAAAAAGGTTTGAAATGAATCATGGAGAGAAAGAAACACGCTGACAATATAGTTCCGATCATGCTGAGTTTTGTATTTATTTTTTTAAAATGCTGCCAGGTGTAATAGAATTATATAGGAGGTTAATGTGTACAATGGGAAGTAAGGAATACTGCAGCTTGTGTGATAATGTTTGGTAGATCTCTGATAATACTCTGATAACCAAGTTAATCTGAGAACAGCTAATGTTCTTTAGGCCTTTTTACACATGGCCAAACTATTGAACAAATTATGGACTGAAACTGACTGGTTCACTGTACCGTAACATTTTTTTATTTGTTTGTCTTTTGCTCTCAATTCTGCCTGTATAAGGATCTTAAGAATTTACTTCACTAGACTATGATGTCTCTCTGAGAATTCTCAATACCACAGGTGTGCATTGAGCAGTACATCAACACGTAAAACAAAGGGCAGGTCTATTCCAAGCCTTGGAGTGGGAAATGAAGTGTATCATCCCAAAACAGGTGTTGAGGGTTTGTTAATAAGAGAGAGAACAGATCTATCTCCTCTCATCCCTCCTGCTTTTTAGATTTGTTTCTAATCACTTTAACGCCAGTACTGCCGCTCATACTGCTGTTCGCTGAGTTTCAGTATTGTGAGAGTCATTTAGGGGTTTGGGCTATGCGGCAAGGGTTGGGAGGTGGATGGGGTGGGGTGGGGGGGAAATGTCAGGGTCAGTCCTGGACTGTGATTTGAGTGAAAGTGAACGTCATCGATGCCCCTCTCAGTAACAGTGGGGGTAGAAAACACCATAGAGCTATTGCTTTCTAAGAATTTAATCAGTTTGTGCTGGTCACTGAAAAACTGAAAATTGTGTGCGTGTGTGCGTTTGGATTGTATTTAAACTGCATATCGTGTTCACTCTTCTTTCAGTAACCTTTTATATTGGAATTTTATAGCTAAGGTTTGTGTCCTTCATTAAAGCCCTAGAATTAAATGGGGATTATGCAGCAAGATCCAACAGGGAATCATTGGAAAATGTGAACACCATTACCTTGGGGATCCTGCAAAGTAATGATAGGAGATAGTGGGTTCCCAGCAGAATTTCAGGGCTTAGTGTTATGCATTAGTATTTGAACCTGGAATTGTGGCCTCTGCATACTTAGGGCTTTTGGCAGTCCTGCTCTTGTTATCGTATTGTAAATTTTGTCTGTACTTGGTTTAAACATTTGAGGGTCAATATCCACCTTATTTCATGGCCATTTTCTCCCTCTCACAGCTGACTTCTCCACACCAGTTCTAATCATGCCAGTAAAATGCCTTTCCAGGCTATCATCCAGGGAATGCAATAAAATTATTTTTATTGGGTTGTCCAAACCCCATGACCTGATGCAAGGGGGAATTTGCCTCCATTCTGGTACACGCCCACTGCAACAAATCAAATGTCAGTTACATGGCAACACAAAAGTTTTGAGAGCTCAGCCCATATAACCCATCACTCCATATTAATTTAGCTGGTGTGACATAGAATCCGACAATGTAACCTTTCTAAATGAACTGCAGGGAGAAAGGGTATTGCAAGACACTGCTTATCCATTTTCTTTCGTCAATGGGTAAGACAGACTTCCATTATTAGTATTCTCGCACATTTTAAACTCTACTGCCCTGTACACTTCAAACAAGGGACCAATAATTCAGGTTGCCAATATTTCTAGATCATGGCTTTATGAAGGATTATTGATTTGGGAGTGGTCTGACATGAGGAGATGGTTTTACTGTATCAGTAGAGCAGATAGAGTGTCCAGTAGCTGTCAACAAGCCCTCTGCCTTTACCCCAGCTACAGTCAGAGATTAGGAGTGGAGGAAATGTAAACTTATCACTCCTATGATCCAAACCAGAACAGTGCCCAATAATCTGTGCACAGCACACTTCATCATTCTCGACACTTTCTTTTCCCTGTGTCCGCCTATAAATTATAGAACAATTCACGTGTGTCCCGCTAACTTTTGTTACTAAACTATTTGAATTGCATTTATTGAAATATTTCCATTTTGTCAATTTAACAAGCATTCAAAATTCTCACATTCCAGAAGCAAGCTGAATAGATATTTTTTATTTAAAAGAGACTGAGTGATGAGTAAATGTAATTTATTTCTACAATGTACAGTCAGCACTGCCATCACTCCAGTTTAGGAAGCAAACTCCATTTCTCAAAACACACTAGCGAGGCCACAACAGAAACATCCTGTCAACTGGAAAATGGACATGAAGTTGCTGTTGCTGGGACCAGTGCAGTAATACTGTGTGTCTCTTTGGGCTGCTAATAAGTCTGGGCTTTTATTTTTGATAAAGTGGTGAAGGTTGGGAATCTAAGGAATGTAGCATCATTTGCAGGTGAAGGCAAAGAAAAAGTCTGAAAGTCACTACTATAGACCTGTGGACCAAATGTTTATATGAGGTATCTCTTTACCTCTAGCACCAAACACCACCACCACCATTCCCTCTTCTACAATAAGCCATGGTGGCCATTTTCTTAGTTCAAACAAATTGTATTTGCCAAGGGGGTGAAATCCATAATCAACGTCATCCTAGTTCAGTTTGTCCAGCTCCTGCTTCTTAATTACAGCTGCCATCCAGGAGTGAAACAGCTCTTATAAAGTAAATCAACTTGCCAATTATAAGACAGAGCCTGTTTCATAAAAATTCTTTCTACTAAGAACAAAGATGTGATTAGCCAAGTACAATTGAACTGTTTGTTGCATAACTGTTAGCTTCACTGATGGGACACAACTGTGGAAAAAGGGCAGGTTGTTCTTCAGTTTTTCATTGTTGTGTGAGAACCATATTACCACTAAACTAAATGCATTGCTGAGTTTTGAATCATCTTTGTTTTTAAAATTTGTGCTTAAATTGTAGTTGGGTTTAAGTTTGTTGCTAAGGATAGAGAGCATGATTTATTTTTGGGTGGTTTCGAGGGGAAAGGAGAGTTTGCTGAATTTCAAGTTGACTCCGCGAGGAATGGGCACCATTTTGAGACTCGTTATGCATCTTTCACCAATGACGATAATTAGAGATCCTATTCCGGAACAATCAAAACCACCACTGCACACTTGCCTCCCCCCCACCACCCCAAAACAAATGTGCACACACTGTCCCGCAGTGGCCCAGTCACTCAAAGCCAAGGTTGTGACAATCTGACCAGCAGAATGTTTTGTTGTAAGGCTGGGACTTTCAGACAAGGGTCAGAGGTGAGGTACCACAGGGGTGCAATATGTACATCGTGATTCTTTGCTTTTGATGCTCAAAACTGCCCTGACCTCCCAATGCCATGCCCCAAGTAGCCAGATGAGAAGGACAATATGGTGAAATTATTTTAAGAATTGTGTAACTATTCTGACACTGGAAATCATGTCCCTAAGATCATTGCATTATTTCATTTCTTTTTATGTTTTTTTTTACTTAATGCAGGGAACCAAAGTGCATGTAAGGTTTTCTTATTTTGATGTGGCTTGTTTCAATATTCAAGGGGAGTTTTGAAAAGGGATGTCTTCCTCCCACAAAATCAGACACAAGGAGGATAAGTAAATTCTGCTACAACCGTGCTGTTAGTGAAGCTGGGATCTTCGTCCACTGAATGCGATACCGATGCTTGGGTACCAAATAAATAACACTTCAGAACACCTGTCCTTCTCTCACTGTTTAATGGACTTCCCAAAGGTCATGAATCTCCAAGTCAATTTGCTCCATAGCTTTGAAACATTACTATTGGAAAATATCATTGCACCTATGTACCTGTGTTACTAAAATTTCAGTTCTTTCCCATCTGATCTGAACATTCAAAGGCAGGGTTTCCCCAAGCAGGGTTGCAGGCTCACCTCAGCAATGGCCACTGTGTAGCTCTGCCTCTACCTCATTTTCACAGGTCTTCTGTCCTCCACCTAATTCTTCTCACCCATCAATCCCGCTCTGTTTTCAGAGAGATTGCAACAATTGTCACGTCTTGAAATAGGGTCACAGTGAGAAAAGATTGGGGAAGCACTGTTCATTGCTTTCGGTCAACACAATATGTTATGTGAATTTATTCCTACCCTCTACCATTGGCAACAGATGCACATCAGAGTTTCATAGTGGACCTACACTGCTGTTTAATCCCTGTACACTCCGACAGCACTGATCTGTATTGCGTGTATGAGAAAAGGTTATTAGAATATGCCACAATCAACTCGTAAACCGACTGAATTTTCTTTATAATGTATTTTCTGTAATCATTTTATAAAGTGTCTCCACTGAATGTTGCTCCACCTATTAGAACAACTGCAGCAGCAGTGCTATGGCATCACAGGGTGTCCTCAGAATGCACACTAGAGGTGTCAGGATCGGACAACAAAAGAAATCAATAGCACCAGTGTTAACTATGAAAAGACAACTTCAAATTTTGGATTGTACACTATTTTGAATTATGTATAATAATATTTCAATATTAATGTAACTAACTTTTATGAAAGATTAAAAGCTGACAAAAGAATATCCCTCTGTCTCTGTGCGTGTTATATACGTTAAAGTCTTCTCCTGTTTCCCATGATTTAAATTGGGACTTCTATATGTCTTGTCCCTTTGACAGACCTCGTTTTCCCTTTGGTAATACTTAAATTATGCACCAGCAATTTAAATGTGTATTACTGGACCTATCAGCGAAAGGTTTGAGTTTGATAACCAATTATGCTTGAATTCGGGCAGTCTGTTCATTTTTGAATTGGGGCCAGTCAAAATGACTGCAAATACTGCCAGATTGTCCTCAGTGTTGTTTGAGAACAAAATCTATTGCTCCTTTAACCTGCATTGACCTTTCTCACGAGTGCAATGTTAACCAATGTTTTAAAATAACAAAACAACCTATTTAATTGCCTTCAAACTTGATTGAGTTGGTCAAGGTCAGGAAGTGTATGAGTCTTAAATGAGCTTTTGATCGAGAGAGTAGATCCCTGCTCCAGTTACACAAACTACATTTGTTTTCTGAACTTGTAAATACTCGTATCTGTCTCATCTCTGTCTATTTCTCTCGTACAGCTGGTATGAGTGCCAATGTCACGCACTGCACACAATCTGTTCTTTAATCTAAGCAGCTATTGGGGTCATAGGACAGAACAAAAAGGATTGGGCATGGAAATGGCTGTAGGAGGAAGATTAACCTTGCATTTGGCACCTGGCTGTGTTGGATTCGTTCAGCCCTGATATAAGCAGTGTTGAAGCTGGTCTTGTTTACCCTGGCATCTATTCAGTATGCATATTTTGGTGAGCTCTGTTGCTTTTCAGAGTTCATGTTCCAGATATCATCCAATGTCTGAGATTCTATGTGTTCTCCCTCTGCAGACTTTGTGAGTCAACCTGCTCAGACATGTTATGACACATTTCTGGGGCATGTGGGACTTGAACCTGGGTCTTCTGGCTCGGAGGCAGGGGATACTGCCACAAAACCCTGAGATTCTATGCAATTAGCATTAGCTGGCCAAGCAGAGGGTGTGAGATGGATGGAGATACACCACAAGAAATGGAACAGGAGGAGGCCATTCTGCCTTCCAGTACATCATGTCTGAAATGTATTTCAAAGCATTGGAACAAAACACCCACACAAAATCGACCTATTCCACTTCTGAAGTGTTCAATTGACCCTGGTTCTCTCTTTTTGAGGAGT